TCGCTTTCTCAGAGGTGTTCTAGGATTGCCCTGTCTAAAATAGTCATCCATCCTGAGCTGCATGTGACTATAGAGCATTTTGGAGTAATCTGAATGGAGGGAGCAGTAAGTTTAGAATACATACTGCACTTTAAAGGTTAGGGAGAGAAAGAGTAATATGAAATGCTGCTATACTTCATATTCAGCACATGGCAAAATAATAATATTTTTTTTCTCTTTTGGTTTTTCAAGACAGAGATGTCCTGAAACTCACTTTGTAGATCAGACTGGCCACCTGCCTCTACCTCCTGAGTGCTGAGATTAAAGTCCTATGCCACCACTGCCTGGCAGAATAATATTTTGAGTTAAGTATGTTAAAATTAAGAAGCAGGATGTGATGGTGTTTCTATAATTCTGGCAGTTGGTAGGTAGAAGCACACACACACACACAAACACACACACACATATTTTAAGTAGCTAGGTATGACATTGTATATCTGTAATCTCAGCATTTAGGAGGCTGAGACAGGAGGACCATAAATAGGGTCAGCCTAGGTGACATAGTATAATAGCTAATATTGATTATCAACCCCACAGGAGCTAGAATCATCTAGAAAAGGTACCTTTAGGCATGTCTGTGAGGGAGTTTCTGAATTAGGTTAATTAGTGTGGGAAGGCTCACCCTTGCACACCCTGAGTGTGTGCAGAGCTGTCCAATGAGCTGAGGTCCTGGACTAAATTGAAAAGAGAAAGGAGCTGAGCATTGGGATCTATTGTTTTCTGCTTCATGACTGTGGATACCCTGTGAGCAGCCACCTCTTCTCCTGCCTCTGCCTTCCCCTGCATGATGGATTGTCTGCTCAACTGCAAGCCAGAATAAGCCTTCCCTTAGTTACTCTGTCAGGTGTTTTGTCACATGGATGAGACAAGTAACTAATCTACATGGTGAATTTAAGGTTACCTTGCTGCATAGCTAGAACCTTTTTTTGAATAGCAAAACAAATGCCTGTTGATGGTGATGAGGCATGCCTTTAATCCGAGCACTTGGGAGGCAGAAGCAGGTGAATCTCTGTGAGTTCAAGGCCAGTCTGGTCTACTGAGCGAGTTCCAGGACAGGCTCCAAAAGCTACAGAGAAACCCAATCTAGAAAAACCAAAAAGAAAGAAAAGAAAAACAAACGAAATGGTTTTACTTGTTTCTATTTCCTGTTTTCTGTGGTTGCAAAAAACAAAGAATTATAATTCTAGACTTAACATCTGAGACTCCAGGATGCCTGTCTGACAAAGTTGAATCCTTACTAGGAACTGAGGGGAACTAGTTACTCCATTGTTCACTTGTAGCAGCTTTCTGGCTTTAAGGCTCATAGGTTGATCTGCTCCATCTGAGTATTTGTTTCCTTTGTTGTCTTTAGGAAGTGGCATTTTGAGGCTCTTGGAGGTTTCCAAAGAGTCATAGGTAAAGTTAGGATTTTGTTGTTGCTGTTATCATTTTAATCTATCCTTTCCTCTATTGTTTCAATTCTGAGTGGTTTATCTGACCTGGGAAGGTTGAGTTTCTTCTGGAATATGTGATTACACCTTATAACTGCATCAAGGACCCAGAGTGGCTGAACCTAGCATTAAGATAAGGAATACAAAGGGAGGAGTTTGTTCTTTAGCTTCATATGCTTCAGATACACACACACACACACACACACACACACACACACACACACACACACTCACACACACACACTTTTGTTTTTGTTTTTTTGAGACAGGGTTTCTATGTGTAACAGTGATAGCTGTCCTGGTACTCACTATATAGACCAGGCTGGCCTAGAGCTCACAGAGATCCACCTGCCTCCTGAGTGCTGGGCCTAAAGGCATGTACCACCACTGCCCAGCTATATTTTGTTTTAAAGAAAAGACCTGAATGTGAACTGTGTTTTAGATGTGGTAGTGTACTGTCTGGACTTCAAAGGCATCCAAAGGGGCAGCAATAATCCTTTAAGAGTTCTTTGTGTATGGTGTAGGCATGCCTAAAACTTTGCCTTCCCATTTTAGAAGCTGGCTTTCTGTTATTATAGCAAATACCTGAATAAATCATAAAGAAAGTTTAGTCTAGTTTTAGTTTCGTTCAGAGACAAGGTCTCACTCTGTAGTCTAGCTAGCCTGGAACTCACTCTGTAGCCCAGAAAGGTCTTGAAGGAGGTCAGTCCTTTCTTCTGCCTCCTGATTGATACTGGGATACAGGAGCCACCACTCCTGTTTGAGGTTTTTTTGTTTCGTTTTTGTTGTTGTTGTTGTTGTTGTTTTGTTTTTGAGATGGGGCCCCCTTTGTAGTCTAGGCTGGTTTAGAACTCCCTTTATAAATAAGACTGGCCTTGATTCAGCATGTTTCTGCTTCAACTTTCTGGATACTGAGAATACAAGATGCCCATCCAGAAAAGGTTTCCATCCATGATCAGTTGGTCCTGCTGCTTTCGGCCTGTGTCGAGGCAGCAGCACATTGTGGCAGAAGTGCATGGCTGAGCAAAATGGTTTCCTCCTGTCTGGGAAGGGAAAGAAGAGAAGGGGCTGGCATCCCACGGTGCCCACTGCAGCACACCCTTAGTGGCCATAGCACTTCTCACTGAACACCACTGAAAGGCTCTGCCACTTTCCAGTCTTCCAGTTGGGTCCTACTGAGGACTAGGCCTTCAACACACTGCCTTCAGGGACACTCAAGATTCAAATCATAGCCACCACAGGAGCTGTTGTCTGTTACTTTTTGTTCTATGTGCTTAGCACCTATTGAAGATTCAATAGAAGCTGTTGTTTGCTACTTTTTGTTCTGGTGCTCAGCACTGATTGACGATTCAATGAGAGCTATTCAAGTTGGGATCTTAGGGGCCAGAAGTGAGTTTGCCTCTCAGGTACCTCTTAGCTTGGAAATGCTGGAAATTTTGTTTTATGTTTTGTTTTTCTTGTAGGCATTTGTCAATTGGAAAGAGGCTAAATTGACTTGGAGTTTTTTCAAACAGTCTTTCTTGAAACAAATTTTAACAGAAGGTAAGTAAAATAAAAGGTCATGTTGAGTAGCTGGGAGGTCTCACAGGACAGATGACACAGAGCACTTATCTGGAGCCCTTGGCAGAGGACACTTAGAATATCCTTGCTTTATTTTGCTTTAAAAAAGATAGGGGGGCTAATATTTATTTGGCTTTATGTTTTTTGTTCTGTTTTGTTTTTTTGAGACAGGGTTTCTCTGTGTAGCTTTGGAGCCTCTTCTGGCACTCTCTCCATAGACCAGGCTGGTCTCAAACTCATGGAGATCCACCTACCTCTGCCTTCCAAGTGCTAGGGTTAAAGGCATGGGCCACCACTGCGTGGCTTTTGGCTTTATGTTTTACTTAAACTGTCTAGTTTAAATCTCTCCACAGCCTTATAAAAGATATTCTCTTCCTCTTTATAGAGATAAGGAAACTGTGGGTAGTGCTTTAGAATCCCATAGTAACAAAGGATAGCTTAATTAAAATCTAAGTCTTTGTTAGTCAGCTTTCTGTTCCTGTGTCAGAATACCTGAGACAATGAACTTAAAAGCAGGAAAGGTTCGATCTGGCTCACAGTTTTAGCCCATGGCTACTTAGCCTTGTTACTTTGGACCCAAGATAATACAGTATATCATGGTGCAAGTATATGGCAGAGGAGGCTTGCTGGGAGACAGACAGAGAGGCCAGAGTTTTAATATATCCTTCCTCAGCAGCATGCTCCAGTGACCTGACTTTCTCCCATTAGTTCCTGTCTCCTTAAAGTTCCAGTAGCACCATGGTTGGGGCTCAAAGCTTCACACTTAGAGGACTTAGAGGAACACTTCACACCCAAACTGTAGCAAAATCTAACTGGAAAAGCCAATATTGTATCATTTAATAAGTTTATTATAGAAGCGTTGTATCAATGAAAGAAAAATTTGAAAATTATCTCGTTAATGATAACCTAATTTTTTTTTATACATTCTTCAGAACTGTCTTTCAGCTGGTCATTGGTGGTGCACACCTTTAATCCCAGCACTCGGGAGGATCTCTGAGTTTGAGACCAGCCTGGTCTACAGAGTGAGTTTCAGGACAGCTAAGGCTACACAGAGAAACCCTGTCTCAGAAAAATAAAGAATTGTCTTTTATTTGGTAGTGCAAGTGTTCACTCTCCCCTTCTGCCCCCACATTTCCTGTACACTGTGTTGGGTGCTGAGAACAAAGACAGATAAGTAACAGATCATGGCCTCAAGACGTTCACTCTCACAAAAACCACTGATGTGAGGTGGTTAGCTGGCACATGGCTGTGTGGCTGTGCTTGGAGATCTTAACTCAGTCAGCACAAGCTCCTTGAGGACCCCTCAGTTCTTAGAGCTCTGTTAAGAAACTGAAGAGGAAAAGTGATGAGGATGTCTAAGAGAGGTCTCCTGCCCCAAGGGAGCTTTTGGAATGTGAAGGAGAGCCTTGTCCTGCCAGAAAACAGGAAAGGCCTTTAAAAAAATCCATTGTAATTGGTAAGGATGGCCCATTCAGGTATAGACTGAACCAGAGCCGCTAATGGGAAACGAAGGCAGGCAGGAGTAACAGGATGAAAATGTGATCTGGGTGAAGATGGAGGAAGGAAGACAAAAAGATAGCTGGGATTAGTGTACAAAATGCCTCAAATGCAGAATTAAGGAACCTGGACTGTTTTTTGAGACAGGGTTTCTCTGTATAGCCCTGGCCGTCCTGGAACTCACTCTAAACCAGGCTCATCTTGAACTAGCCTCTGCCTCCATAGAGCTGGGATTAAAGGCATAATCACCACTGCTGGGTTTGAGCCTGGACTTTTGCAAATACTAATGAGCCATTATGAAGGAAGGAACTCAGGGATTGACAGGTGACTATACAGCTGTCCCTTGGTATATACTAAAATCTAAGGATGCTCAAGCCCCTGTGTAAAATGGTATATTTTTGCATATAACTTAGACATACTCCTTTTTATGCTTTAAATAATTTCAGGAGTATTTAATTGTACCTTGTGTAATACAAGTGCTATGCAAAACTATCATTATACTGTATTATTTAGAGAGTAATAATAATAAAAGCCATACATGTTTAGTCATATTCAGTTCAAATACATTTTTTTCTGGGTGTTTTTGATTTACACTTAGTTTGCTCATTAGAATCACAAACTCTTAGAAATGGAGTCTGACTGTATTTACAAAAGCTGGAACTGTTTGAAGTCAGAGAACATCAGAGCAGCATAGAGATGGAAACCTGAGAGGACCCACAAGGCTCCCTGTCACACACAGTTGTCTTAACAGGGAGACAGGTGAGAAAGTAGTCTTTTTTTTTTTTTTTTTTTTTTAATCTTCAAACACTTGGATTTTTTAAAGATTTATTTATTATGTACACATTGTTCTGCCTGCATGTCAGAAGAGGGCACCAGGTCTAATTATAGATGATTGTGAGCCATCATGTGGTTGCTGGGAATTGAACTCAGGACCTCTGGAAGAGCAACAGTGAGTACACTTAACCTCTGAGACATCTCTCCAGCCCCCGAGAGAGTAGTCTTGTGAGAAGATGGGAACCTTTCTTGTAATGCTTTTCTTTTTGAGTTGCCAGGAAGTAAGAACTTGCTCTTTGGGACTATGGCCACTATTTGGTGTTCTGTCTCAATCATGGCTATGATTTTAATCCCAGCATTCAGGAGGCAGAGGCAGGTGGATCTCTGTGTTGGAGGCCAGCCTGGTCTACAGAGTAAGTGCCAGGAGAGGCTCCAAAGCTACACAGAGAAACCCTGGAAACAGAGACAGACAGAGACAGAGAGAATGTGGCCTCTCTTAAGACTTGGAAGTCATTTCACTATTAACATTTCTGAAATCTCCCCATGTTATATTGTTTGTTTTTCTTCTTCTCCTCTTCCTCCTCCTCCTTCTCCTCCCTCTTGTCTTCCTCCTCTTCCTCCTCCTCTTTCTTCCAGAGTTTCTCTGTGTAACAGTTCTAGCTGTCCTAGAACTCACTTTGTAGACCAGGCTGGCCTTGAACTCACTGAGATCCACCTGCTTCTGCCTCCTGAGTGCTGCGATTAAAGTGTGTGACACCACCACCTGGCTATGTTTTATTGTTAATAGGATGGTTTTGAAATAATCTTCACTTGTTTTTAATTTGGCTTTAAGACTCTGTCAATAAAGGCCTCAGCACATTTTGAACAGTTGCTATGAGATGGTATGAAATCAGTGTTAGGACATTGAACTCATTTTTAATTGGTTATCTGATGTTTCTCTGAGAGTACTTGTCACCTGGATTCGGGCATGGTGGCACACACCTGTAAGCCTAGCTAGCATCCAGAAAGGTATTGCAGGGGATTCTCAAGTTTAAGTCCATTCTTGAACTCAAAAAATGGGGAAGTGAATAGGTAGGGTGGGTGCGTGTATTCACCAATTGGAAACACTGATCTTAGAGAAAAGGAAAAAAAAATGAATATTGTATTTGAAATGCTAATTTTGCTTTTCTGTTATAGGTGAGCGATATGTGATGACATTTTTTAATGTATTAAACTTTGGCGATCAGGGTAAGATGAAAGTCTGTAGTGTTTTAATTAAAGATGAATACCATTGCTGGGCATTGGTGGCGCACGCCTTTAATTCCAGCACTCGGGAGGCAGAGGCAGGGGGATCTCTGTGAGTTTGAGACCAGCCTGGTCTACAAGAGCTAGTTCCAGGACAGACAGCCTCCAAAGCCACAGGGAAACCCTGTCTCAAAAAACCAAAAAAAGAGATGGATACCATTAATAGATACTAGGCCTTTGGTGATACCTTGTCATGTGACTTGAGTGACAGTCTTGTTGGGACCGTCACTCTCTACCTGTTTCCTCTAGTCATTTTGAGGGGTGGGGCTCCTTTTAGTCACAAAGATCTGCTCCCAGGCTCTCAGGGTTTATTTTGTATTTATTTTTCAATGTGATACTGAGTCATGGAAATAGAAGTAAAGAAAAAGTCAGCTTCGAGTTGATGATTTAATTTTTAAAGGGCTAGTGATAAAAGTGCCTCTGTCTTGACTATATAAATGGCAAGATCATGGTTGCTAACAAAGTCCAAAATTTGCAATCTATGATTTCTTCAACCATATGTGAATACACAGTTTTCCTCCAAATTTACAAATTTTTGGCTTGGGAAGGAGCTTGGTTAGTACAGTGTTTGCCTGGCATGCATGGAGCCCTGAGTGTAATTCTCAGCACCAGGGAAAGTCAGATGTGGTTGTGCACACCTATAGTCTCAGCACTTGGGAGGTAGAGGGATGGATCAGAAGTTCAAGTTTTTGTTGGCTGTGTAGACAGTTCAAGGCCTGCCTGGGCTACATGAGACCCTGTATGCAAAAGAAAAAAATATTAAAAATTTAAATTTAAACATTAAATTAGAAAAACAATTTTCATACAGTGCTGTGAAATTAAGAACTAACATAATTATTGTTCTTCCTTTCTGTTTTATAGGTGTATATGATATAGTGAATAATCTTGGATCCCTTGTGGCTAGGCTAATTTTCCAGCCAATAGAGGAGAGTTTTTATATATTCTTTGCTAAGGTGCTAGAGAGGGAGAAGGATGCCACACATCAGAAGCAGGTAAGCTTGGTTCTCATTCATGTCAGGTGAATGACAAGAAATTTGGGTCAGTCAGTTTTCCTTTAGTTTGATTTGACGTTTCCTTCTAGATCTCCTCTTCTTTCTTTTTTGCTTTAGTTTTTTGTTTTTCAAGACAGGATCTCACTATTAGTCCTGGAACTTGCTTTGTAGATTGATCAGACTGTCCTCAAACTTGAAGACTGCCTGCCTCTGTCTCCCAAGTGCTGGGATTAAAGGTGTGTGCCACCACCTCCTGGCTTTGTTTTGTTTTTTGAGACAGGGTCTTGTATTCCTGGCTGGCTTTGAACTCCCTTTGTAGCCAAGGTAGACCTGGAAGTTTTTGATTCTTCTGCCTCCACTGCCTAAGTCATGGAGTTAAAGGCATGTGCCACCACACCTAGATTGTTCTTCTCTCACATTCTTACAGTTGGCAGGACCCAGAGTTTACTTCTCTTTTCCTTCTGGCTGTCCATTGTATCTCACCCCTTTGTCCTCTTATCTGACCTTACTCTTTGTTTGTTTAATTAATTCTTGTGTTTTTATTTTTGTTGTCTGTTGTTTGTTTTTTGAAACAGGGTTTTACACATAAGATGGCTTTGAACTTCTGAACCTCCTGCTTCAACCTCCCAAGTGCTGGGAATTCAGATGTATGTTGCCACAGGCAGTTTGTACAGTATGAGGGATCAAACTCAGGCCTTGTACATGTTAGGCAGGCACTCTCCCAACTGAACTAGATCCCCAGCCCTGTAATCACTGAAAATTCTGACTTACTTTAAAAAGATTTTTGGATCTTTTTGCTTTGTTTTTCAAGACAGGGTTTCTTTGTGTAGCCCCTGGAATTTGTCCTGGAATTTGGTCTATAGACCACACTGGCCTTGAACTAACAGAGATTCGCCTGCCTCTGCCTCCCAAGTGCTGGGATTAAAAGTGTGTGCCACCACTGCCCGGCCCTAAAAAAGATTTTTAACCTTTATTATTTTATTGGTTTACTGTATGTGAGATGCACATACATGAGTATGCAGGTGTCCAAGCATGCACACGTAGATGTCAGAACATGAGTATGCAGTTGCATGTGCCCATGCATGCACATGTAGAGACCGGAACATGAGTATGCAGGTACAGATGTCCATGCATGCACATGTAGAGACCACAACAAGACATCAGGTGTCTTCTCTGTTTACTTTGCCTTATGCCTTGATACTGGGTCTCTCATTGAACCAGGACCTCACTATTTTGACTCAGCTGGCTGGTTAGCAAACTCTTGGGATTTGCCTATCCCACTCCTCAATGCTAGGCCACAAACACAGGAAGCCATGCCTGGCATTTTTTTTTTTTTTAACATGGATGCTGAGGATTTTAATTCAGGCCCTCAGGCCCTCATGCTTGCAGGGCAAGCACTCTTACCTGAGGAGTCTTCCCCTCTGCTCCCTCTGACTTATTTTGCAATTAAAAGCAATCTAGGTCTACCTCTTCCATGTCTTAGAAGATAGTTTACAAAGTGAGTGTAATTTATTCTCAGTATTTGAAAGTAAGATCTGGTTGGAAGTCTGACTTAGGAGTATTCCCTTAAGTGTATGTTGACAATAACAGAATTTCCAGCCATCAGTGAGAAGTAGCACAGATCTAACTAGCATAGGTGAAAATATGAGGTAAAGCAAGTGTTTTCTTAGCAACACTGAAAATTTATCCTTGATGAGGTGAAAACTAAGCCTCCTGCTTTCCATCTGGAGACTCAGTTCTCCCTTTCATTTGCCAGCTGTCATAAAAGACAAGTACAGGCTTCAGAAAGGCGCAGAGCCCTCACTGGAAGGGGTGGCCTGCATGAGTTGCTCTTCAGCTCAGATTCAGCTGACTTCCTTCCCTTTCCCCTGCCCCAGGAGGACATTGCTGTTGCTGCTGCGGTTTTGGAGTCCCTCCTCAAGCTTGCCTTGCTGACTGGCCTGACCATCACTGTTTTTGGTTTTGCCTATTCTCAACTGGCTCTTGACATCTATGGAGGCGCCATGCTTAGTTCAGGATCCGGTATGTGCTAGACTCTGTAAAGGGTTTGTTCTGGTTTCTGAAGAGAAATGGAAGTGGCTCATGAAATTCAGGCTATGTGCACACATGGTTGACCCTGTCATTGTTGGGAGAAGCTTTGGATAGCTGGGGCTTTGGGGCTGTTCCCTCACTCTCAATGCCCAATCAGTGTGCAGTCTGGGCTTGCACTCAGTTCTTCGCCCTCACTTGAAGAAGTGGTGAATCCTTCTTGCTATTGGCTTTCCTCTCAGGTCTGAAATATATTACCTGTATTTCCTCTAAGTGAGGGAGGAAAGCAGAGAGCAGGCTAGGATGGGTCTCTACTTGGTATCTGAGATAGTAAATGCCATGTAAATCTCAGAATGTGAAGAGTAAAAGCCTTAGAAAGATAACCTGGAGCCATTTGCCTAGAATAAAATTGATCTCAGCCATAAAGTTTTATATTTAATCTATTGACTCTTGGTTTGGAAGGCGAAAAGCACCATGGACTGTATCTATCATTGAAATACTTGGTCCCCAGGCTGCTGAGAATTTCAGTGTACTTGCTAGTCCTTGGGGGTATTTACCTGTTTCAAACTATGCTGGGCTCTAGACTGACCATATATTTGCAGTTTTTATTCTGGGATGGGCAGAGACATTTTTACATTCTCAGATCACTAAATAAGAACCTGGAAGATTCTCTGCTGACCCATCTCCATATAAAGGGCCCTGTCACTACAATTTTACACTTCCGTGTTTCAGTTGCCACAATGGGAACTGTAGCAGATTTTTGGTATTGGGTCGGGGGTTGGTGGGGGGGAGAACCTTGTTTCTACACCAGTGCAAAGGTTGTTAAATTTGAGGAAATACCTGCTGTGAAGCCTGTGATATGATTTGTGGCTCCCTGGGGTTTGTGCCTTAAGCAGTACATTTTCATCAGGCAACTGCTTGGGAGGCCTCATTAGGAAGCCATTAGGAAGTTTATGTGTAGAGATAGGGGATCCAACTGTTTCATACCTGCTCTGCCCCCTTAGAAAACAGTCCCCAAGAAACAGCCTCTGCTTTAACACAACCACAAGATGTTGCCAAGACGGGCTGTCCAATCATTATGCTCATTTGGAAGAGTAATTCATCCTAGATATATAAATTAACTACCATCATTATGTTGCCTCTGCCTCCCAAGTGCTGGTATTAAAGGCATGTGCCACCATCTCCTGGCTTCATTGCCTTCTACTTTTGACCAAGCTGTCACCAAGCTATCACCCTACAAAGCTCATTCATGTCCTGTCTGGGTAGCATCAGGGCCTCTGCACACATTGCCTGCTGGGTTTCCCACTTACCCCATTTCTCTTGTTCTTGCTCTTACTAGTGCTGGATGTCCAGATGAATTTCTTGGGTCAGGAAGCATTCACATCACTGTTCTCCCCAGCCCATCCCAATCAATTTTTCCTGATCACTTAAGTATTTTCATAAAATTTGACTTTGCCTAGAAATGATTCCTCCATTAAGTAGAAATGAATGTCATATGCATGGTTTGGCTTTATCACTATATTATACATATACATATAATATATATATACATATATATTATACATACCAGTTTATTTAGGTGCTAGGAATTGAACTTAGGGCCCTGAACCTGCTAAGCAAACACCCTTATCACTTTCAGCCCAAGATTAATCAGTTTTGTTTTTTTTTATTTATTTATTTTTTGTATGTGTGTGTATGTGTGTGTATGTATGGTGCTGGGTATCAAACCCTGGGTTTTGTGCATGTTAGACCATTGAGCTACATCCCAGCAACAGAATTGCTCTTAAAAAAGAATTTCAGATTAGCTGGGTGTGATGGCACACACCTTTAATCCCAGCACTTGGGAGGCAGAAGCAACTTGATCCCTTAGTTTGTAGTTTGCCTGGACTACAGAGCAAGTTCCAGGACAGCCAGGGCTATACAGAGAAACCTTGTCTTAAATGAATGAATAAATAAATAAATAAATAAATAAATAACAGATAATAAATAAAATAGACAAATAGGTAAATTTATTTCAGGCCAGTAAAAATTTACATCTTGTACACTCTTGTGTCTTTTTTAGTCTAAAGTTTTTGACATTTGTTAATACATGGATTCTGTTTTTCTTATCTTGTTTGTTTTTGAGGAAAAATCTTATGATGTATCCTTGGTATACCAGGCTAACCTAGAACTCACAGAGATCTGCCTGCCTCTGCCTCCTGAGTACCTCCTCCTCTGCACCACAATGCCCAGAAATCTTTTCTTTCTTTTTGTTTTTGAAATAATTTCTTTTTGAAATTTTATAAGTATGAATGTTTTACCTGTATGTATGTATATGCACTGCATGCATGCCTGGTGCCTTTAAAGGCTATAAGAGGGTGTTGGATCACCAGAAGTAGATTTAGACAGATATAAGCTATATGTGGATGCTGTGAACTGAACAGGGTCCTCTGAAAGAACAGAAAGTGCCCTTAGCCAGGCGTTGATGTTGCACACCTTTAATCCCAGCACTCAGGAGGCAGAGGCAGGTGGATCTCTATGAGTTCGAGGCCAGCCTGGTCTACAAAGTAAGTTCCAGGACAGGCTCCAAAACAATACAGAGAAACCCTGTCTCAGAACAAAACAAAACAAACAAAAAAACCAAAGTGCCCTTAACTGCTGAGCCATCTCTCCATCCCCCTTTTAAAAGTATTCTTACTGAGAAGTATTACTCTGAATAGAAGGTCCATAGTTTGCTTATCCTTTTCCTTTTTTTTTTTTTTGTTTGTTTGTTTTTTGAGACAGGGTTTCTCTGTGTAGCTTTAGAGCTTGTCCTGGAACTCACTCTTGTAGACCAGGCTGGTCTGGAACCCAAAGAGATCCACCTGCCTCTGCCTCCTGAGTGCTGGGATTAAAGGCAGCCACCACTACCCGGCTTTGCTTATCCTTTTTTCTGTTGCTGGTCAGTGTGGACGGTTGTGAATAGAATCACTGCACTTTTTGTGAACATGTGCAGTCATTTCTGTTGGATGAATACCTAGGGTGGAATTGCTGGGTAGCAGTTTGAATGATCATTTGTTTTATTAGAACTTGCTCATTCAGGAAGCATGGTGCTGCATGCTTGAAAGAGCTAATACTCAAGAGGTAGAAGCAGGAGGTCATCTTTGGCTACATAAAGAGTTTGAGGTCAGCCATGGCTCTGTGAGACACTGTTCCCCCAAAACCAAATGACAACAACAGCAAAAAAGGGGCAGGGGAGAAGGAAAGAAAGAGAAATTACTTGCTCATCTATTTTTTTATAATAGCCCTCTGAAAAGAGAGGAATCAATTCCATGATATAGTTTCTAATCTCTGATCTGAAATTTTTAAGAATTACACTTTGTGTGTGTGTGTGTGTGTGTGTGTGTGTGTGTGTGTGTACAGGTGCCACACATGTTTGGAAGTCAGGAAAGCTAATTTAGTTTTGGCAGCAAGCACCCTTACCCACTGAATCATCCCACTGGCCTTAAAAATGTATTGCTGGAGCCAGGCCGTGGTGGTACCTACCTTTAATCCCAGCAGAGGCAGGTGGATCTCAGTGAGTTCGAGGCCAGCCTGGTCTACAGAGTGAGTTCCAGGAAAGCCAGGACTATTACACAGAGAAAAATGTACTGCTGGATGTAACACCATATCACTTTATTTTAGGAAAAAGCACCAATTGGGGCTCTGGTTCTCACTGTGGATTGTGAAGGTTCTGTCTCAGGAGTTTGTTGCTGGTCTTGGGCCCTGGCTATTCTCAAAGGGTATTTGCAGCCTGTTCAATTGAGCTTCCCTTAATACATACATACTGGTGTCTTCAGTGCTCAAACTAGCAAGCATCACCTCTCTGCTGATTGAAAATGTTTGAAGCTTTGCTTGGTGGGCCGATAAGCTTTTGGTTGTTCAGTACAATATCTGTGCATGTATTCCTCACTGTCCTTTTGATTTTACCCGAGTGTTGTAGTCAGTGCCATGAGATCCTGGGAGTCCTCAGGTGTGCATGCAGTCTCCCATTGTTACCATCAGGTCCCATGACCCAGTTGTCTGAACACATGGTGGAGCTAACAATCTCTGCGGATTGTTTCCTTGTAGGTCCTGTGTTGATGTGTTCCTATTGTTTCTATGTCCTCCTGCTTGCAATCAATGGTGTGACTGAGTGTTTCACATTTGCTGCCATGAGCAAAGAGGAGGTTGACAGGTGGGTAACATAGAAAGTACACCTTTAATCGTGGCCTTTGGCCAAAATGAAATAACAGCTCATCTTTTTCTTTTCATTTTGAGCACGGATTTGTCTACACTTTTCTCAGAGGCCACACTATACTACTGGTGTGGTACCTCCTGAGGACCACCATTGCTCTGGCACAGTTTACCTAGTGTTTCCTACAATGGGGCTAGGAGGCCAGTATTTGGCTTCCTTTAATGGGGGATGGGTATCACCCTGGGAGAGTTGTATTTGTTAGTTGTGCAGACAACCTTAGGAAAAGCTAGTCTTCATTCCACTGCATCCCTGCTCAGACCCTAAGACTGAGCCTCAACTCCAGGGGGTTACTTTGCTTTTTCAAGAGGCAAATTCTTAGTGACTAGAGAGATTTTTCAGTGGTTAAGAGCCTGGCTATTTTTTCAAGGGACTCAGGTTCAAATCCCAGCACACATGTGGCAACTAACAATTTTTAGTAACTCCTGGGTTCTAACACGACAACCTCTTCTGGCCTCCTTGGGCAATGCATACATGTGGTACACAGATATAGATGTAGGGAAAGTACCCATATATATGCAAATTCTTGTCCCTAAGAAATGGATTTGTAGTTCTCCAGGAATCTCAGGATTCTGTGTCATCTTTCCTAAGTAGAAGGCTCAAAGACAGATATATTTCAACACAAATTTTTCTTACCTCTTAACTCCAGATTGGGCACCTGCCTTGGAGCCTTCACCAGTAGTTTTAACACTGGCTGTGATTAAAAATCTTCCATGGAGTTAGTTATAATCAGAGCTTCTTTTTTCTTTTCTTTTAATTATGTATGCAGTGTCCTGTCTGCATGTATCCCTGCAGGCCAGAAGAGGGCTCCAGATCTTACTATAGATGCCTGTGAGCCACCATGTAGTTTCGGGGAATTGAACTCATGACCTTTGGAAGAACAGCTAGTGCTCTTAACCTCTGAGCCATCTCTCCAGCCTAGAGTTTCTGGTTTGCCCTACTTGTACTACTCTTTCCTATCACATCTGTACAGTCAGTCAGTAGGCCCTTGGGGATGTATGTGTATTTTAAAATCCCTTTCATTATTCTGATGTGAAATAGCTTAATCTCTTTGGTCCATACCCAAGATCGTCTGCTTTTTGTATCCTAAATGCCAAAAATATTAGGGCAGTATCATAATATGTCATTGTAAGATGAGAAACATAAAAATGATAAGGGAGAGAGAATTTAGAGGGTGGTCTGAGTGGTGAGGCAAGTGGCCCTCCTATTTATCCACTGTCCCTTGATTTCTGGATCTTTGAAGCTTTCCATGCTGCCTCTGTTACCTTGAGTACAGTTGAGAACTTCAGAGGCTTGGTCTTAGGAGTGGAGTGAGGAAGGGGTAACCCAGAGTCAGGGAGTCCTTCTCCCTTCTCAGCAACCTCTCTTCTCATCTTAGACTGCTGAACATAGGAGCCTAGTGCCTTTGCTGTGTAGTGACTGGAGTGTAGCCAAGATGCTAGCCCAGATGGAAGCCATTGTCTTAGGGACTTCTGGTCTTCTCCCAGGTCAATAGGATTGGAATTTTTGAAGACTTAAGCTAGGGAAACTATTCATTACAAGCACCAAGCAACTCTGAATCTGAAGCTATGGAAACTGCTGGTCTGAGCACATCATGATCAGTGCACATGTAAATGCATATGACAGAAGCAGGAGTCCACGAAACAAAAAGCATCTCACTTATGCACAGGATACATTAATTATTTTTATTTTCTTGTATCTCATTCTTCAAAAAGAACTACATCTAAGATAAGATGGTTCAGTAGGTAAAGGTGCCTGCTGCCAAGCCTGAACACTGGAGTTTTAGCCCTGGGACCTACGTGGTTGAAGGAGAGAAGTGACTCCCTGCACGTTGTCCTTTGATCTCTACATGTGCCCTGCAGCACATGTGCACTCTCCTACACACACACAGACATGCCTACAAACAAACTAAATAAATACAAATATAATTTAAAAGCCTTAAAGACACATTATAACCTACTGAATTAATTCGTTAGCCTATTAGAAGATCACAACCCCTGATCTTAAAATAGTTGTTACCTTAGCCATTTAGGTTTATAGCTGCAGAACTGCTTTCCCCATGGATAAAAAGATTAACTTTGAAAAATACCATATTTCAATATTTGAAAGCTGCTTCTAACACTGAGTAATTTAAAAATAAAATTAATCTAAAGCATGCTAAGTGAGAGATGTGGCAGTGTGTAAACTAGGACTCTACCACACATTACACACTTTTGCCTTTATGCATTTCTTCCTATGTGGTCCTGGAACTTGCTATGTAGACCAAACTGGCCCCGAACTCACAGAGACCCAACAGCTTAAATTAAGGATTAAAGGTGTGCACCAATAGTCAGGGAGGGATTTTTTTAAGATTTTTTTATTTTGTTTATTATGTATACAACATTCTGCTTCCATGTATATCTGCACACCAGAAGAGGGCACCAGATCTCATTCAAGGTGGTTGTGAGCCACCATGTGGTTGCTGTGAAGTGAACTCAGGACCTCTGCCAGAGCAGCCAGTGCTCTTAACCTCTGAGCCATCTCTCCAGCCCCAGGGAGGGAATTTTAATTAACAGTAATTTCAATGTTAATGTGGAGGAGGTGAGGCAATACTAAAACACATTTGAACTGTTTAAGAGAAACAGAAAGTCTTATGACCAGATCATGAAGAAATTTAGACAGCAGGTGGTAGCATTCTTTTCTTTTTAAAAAATATAATATTTTTAAGATTATATCATTTCCCAATTCCCTTTCCTCTCTCCAAACCCTCCCATGTGCCACCCATCTTGCTCTCTTTCAGATTTATGGCCTCTTTTCCTTTAATTGATGTGTGTGTTACTAAATATATAAATACAACCTACTCAGTCTTCATGATACTTGTATTATGTCCCAAGTGGGCTGACCACTTGGTATTGTATTGGATAACCATTTAGTGTGCTCTTCCCTAGGAAAGACTGTTTCTCCCACTCTGAGCATTCCTTAGTTGTACCAGGCTTTTTCTTTTGGGACACCTACCAGCTCCCAAATCATGACACAGAGACTTATTGGTCTTGAATGCTCGGTCTTTGCTTAGCTCTTTTCTTGCTAGCTCTCATAACTTAACCTGTTCTTTTTAATCTACATTTTTGCCTTGGGGCTTTTTACCTTTTCTTACTTTCTTGCTGTCTCTATGTTTGTCTGGCTAATGGCTACCTGGATTCTGGCCTCAGGCATGTCCCTTGTTTTCTCCTCCTCCTTCTCTCATTCCTCCTTTTTTTCTTTTCAAGCCTAGATTTCTCCTCCTGTTTATTCTCTGTGCCTGTTAGCCCTACCTGTCCTTTCTCTGCCTAGCTATTGGCTGGCCAGCTCTTTATTAGACCAGTTAGGTGCCTTAGGCAGGCAAGGTGAAACAGAAGCAACACATCTTTACATAATTAAACACACATCCATACATTGTTAAACAAATACAGCATAAACAGAAGTCACACACCTTTATACAGTTAAAGTAATATTCTGCAGCATAAACAAACGTAACACATCTTTGCCTAATTAAAATAATATTCCACAACACTTAGTTGCCTGTAGTTTAGTTCTTTGTGTAGGGTTGAAGCCTTTTTGGCTTTCCCCTGTCTGTTTTAACATGGCCATTGGTATTGTCTTTGTTCAGGTCATGTGCAAGCAGCCATGTTGGTAAGACTTCCATTTCTAGGGAACACAACGTCACAGTAAACTTCCTGTTCCTTTGTCCTACAGTCTTTCTGTCTCCTCTTCTGCAGAAATCCCTGAGCCTCATGTGTGGGAGTTATGTTGTAGATGGATAAGTTGGGACTGAGCTCCACAGCTCTACATTTTGATTAGCTATGGTTTTCTGCAATGGTCTCTGTCTATTGCAAAGAGAAGTTTTCTTTCTTTTTTTTTTTAAAAAGTTTATTTATTTATTTATTATATATACAACATTCTGCTTCCATGTATATCTGCACACCAGAAGAGGGCACCAGATCTCATTCAAGGTGTTGGTGAGCCACCATGTGTTTGCTGGGAATTGACCTCAGGACCTCTGCCAGAGCAGCCAGTGCTCTTAGCCTCTGAGCCATCTCTCCAGCCCAAGAGAAGTTTTCTTAATGAGGGCTAAGAGCTACACTTATATCTGAAGATTTGGAGCTAGGAACCTCAGAGCAGTAGTGTGGAGATACAAGCTCTTGTATGTTCATTTCTCATGAAAACAGATTTTCTCCTGAGAAGTAAATGATCATTCTTTATTAATTTTTGGCTGAAATTATACATCCTTTGTTGGAATACAGTGTGTGGTGTGTGTGTGTGTGTGTGTGTTGTGTGTGTGTGTGTGTGTGTGTGTGTGTGTGTGTGTGTGTGTTTCTTAATACAGGTTTCTGTAGTGCCATGACCTTGGTCAGTCCAAAGACCTATAACCAGGTATTCAGGATCATAGTGGCTTTCTTATGATCTGTAGTCAGATGAATTACTCACTGAACACACAACAGCTTTCTTACCACCTCTGATGTTCAGAACCAGGGTGGTGGCCTCAGAGGCTACCTAACTTGTGGACACAGCCTGGAGACCTACAGGGTTTAACTCTCTCAGCAACTATATATTCAGAGTATCTCCTGTGAAATAGGCAGAACCCAGATGCTGGGGATTTGGTTCATGGCTCCATCACAGACTTTCTGAGGACTGAGCATTAATTTTATGATGCCAAGACTCAGCTCTTTCCTTTGCAGAACCCTGAAGATGGGTGTTTGAAATCAGTGGTGAAAGAAGTAGCATAACTATTCGGCTCCAAAGTCCAAACAGCACTAGAGTTGTAGAGAGCTCGGGAAGTCAGCAATCAGGAAAACATCAGGAAGTGTCCAGGATTTGCTCACTGTTCACAGTTCATTCTGGAGGCCTATTTGTTTGCTTTGAGTGAGGGTCAGTTCCCGAGAGCATCACTTCCCAAGGGAAGCAGGGTGAATTACTGAAGCATCCATCCATTAGCCAAGTGGAATGCTCCTTAGTCCTTGGGTGAGTTCTCACCCTCACTGTGCTCGTTCATATCTCTGATGAACAAATTTAAGCTGCTCAGGATAGGAGTCATGCATATTAATTGCATGCCAGTGTCCTTAGCACCCCTCACATTCCTTTACTGAGTTGGCATTATTACCCAGGTCACATTCATGAAAGATTTCAGCTGAAAAGGACTTTTCTGTTTTGATTACAAACTATCACCTAATAAATGATTATCCTTAGAAGTTCAAGTATTGCCAGGTGGTGGTGATACGTGTCTTTAATCACAGAACTCAAGAGGCAGAGCAGGTGGATCTTTGAGTTCAAGGCCAGCTTGGTCTACAGAGGGAGTTTCAGGACAGCCAGGAATCCACAGAGGAACCCTGTCTTAAAAAAAAAAAAAAAAAAAAAGTCTAAGTATCTTTAATTCTGTATGTTTTGTTTAGGGGCCAGGAAAAAGTCACATTTCCATGTTAACTATGTAGTATTCAGGGTTATAAAAACATGGGTTTTTCAGGACATGGAAGCACACACGTGTAATTTTAGCTCTTGGTAGCCTGAGGCAGGAAGATTATGAGTTTAAGGCCTGAGGATTGTAGATGTTGTTCAGTAAAGAAGGCTTGCTTAGCTGGGGGTGGTGGCACACAACTTTAATCTCAGCACTCGGGAGGTGACAGAGGGAGGTGGATCTCTGCGAATTTAACGCAGCATGGTCTACAAAGCAAGTTCCAGTTGTAGCCAGAGCTACACAGAGAAACCCTGTCTCAAAACAAAACAACAACAAAAAATAACCAAGGGCTAAGCCAGGTATTGTAGTTCAGGCCTATAATCCTTATACTCAGGAGGTTCAAAGTCAGTGTAGGCTACAAAGTGATACCCTGTGTCTAAAAAAAAGGAAAAGCATGGAGGCAAAGGAGCATGCCTAACATATGTAAGGCCTTGGGTTTAATCTAGCACAAGAACGGAACAAACCGTTCCTGCCCACAACACCTATAAAAACATTGGATTATAGGAATTCGTTTGGAGTAATGGGAATTTAGATCTTTCTGTGAGTTGATATGGCCACTTTTTTGTGTGTAATATTCTTGTCTTGGGGCAAGATACTTACCTCCTGACTTTGCTTGTCTCCCCAGGTACAATTTCACCATGCTGGCACTGTCTTCCTCATTTTTGGTCTTATCCTACCTCCTGACCAGTTGGTGTGGCAGTGTGGGTTTCATTTTGGCCAACTGCTTTAACATGTGCATTCGGATCACACAGAGCCTTTCCTTTATCCACCACTACTTCCAGAGGAGCCCCCACAAACCCCTGGCTGGCCTGAACCTCTCACCATTTCTTCTCGGGGTGTTTGCCCTCAGTGGTGGCATTACTAGTGTTTCAGAGGTAAGATCCCCTTCAACTTTCAAACAACTTGATTCTACAGTCTGTCAATGGTCCTCCCTCTAGACTTCCCTCTCCCACCCAGCCTGAACAGACTGATCAAGTGTTTGTCTGCTACATCTTCTCCAGACCTATAAAGCAGTACCTAATACCTAACCTCATCACTGTGTCTTTTATCTGACTTAGAAGCTGGATGATAGGGATGGAGAGATGGCTCAGTGAGTAAGAGCACTTACTGCTCTTTCTGAGGACAAGGTTCAGTTCCCAGCATCCATATGGTGGCTCATAGCCATCTGTAACTTCAATTCTAGGGATATGATGCTTTCTCTAGTCTCTTAAGCATGGGGCACACACACACACACACACACACACACACACACACACACACACACACACCGTGCTCATATGTTTATAAACATAAAATAAAATAAAGAAACCTTAAAAAAGAAGTTGGATGATAACTTTTCCCTGGTTTTCCTGGCAGTAACACTAGTTTCTCTTCCCAGACACTCCTGTGCTGTGAGCAGGGCTGGCCTGCTAGGCTGGCACACATTGCTGTGGGGACCATCTGCTTAGGAGTGACCCTTGGGACAGCATTCTTCACAGAGACCAAGCTGATCAACTTTCTCAGGACTCAGTTGGGTAGATCCAGACTCAGTGACAAAATGACATGACTTTGATGATGCTTTGACTTTTGGTACCTGGACCCACCATGGAGTGTTTCTTGAATAGCATGTGTTGCTGTGCAAAAGTCCTGCTATGGAGTGAGAGTCACCCCATAAGTGGGGTAGCAGAGAAGAGACCACCCAGTCAAAGTCTTCCAACCAAAGGAGGGCTTTAAGTGAAGACCAAAAGCCATTTTGTTAATGAATTAGTTCCCTTTGCGTGTGATTGACCTTTGAAGTTACATCTTCTAATAAACTCTGTCTTAGATGGTAATAGTCATCTTTTGGCCAAGAAGAAGCAATGTAGCCATTGACTATCACAGGAGTCTGTTAAGGAGCTCCTGAAGTTACACACCAAACAAGAACAAAGTGTGGTCTAAGAACTGTGGCTTTCCCTGTGTCAGTTCTGTGGTTCTAGTTTTTAGAGAAGAAAAAATCCTGCTCAGAAGTATTTTTGAAATAATGTTTGCTGTCCTGGGGATTGAACCCAGGGCCTTATTTGTGCTAAGCAAGCTCTCTACCACTGAACTATATCCATTTCCCAGCCCTCACAATGATAAAACCAAGAGATTCGGATCATATTTCCCAGAAGGAGTTAGGGAGGATCTTTGCTGTCATGGTCATGTTGTATCTCCCAGAGCAACTCCTGTCCCAGAATAGGCTCAGGATTTCTTAACTGTAGAGTGTATGCGAACTGTCAGATGGCTTTTGATCTAGCCACTTGAAAGAGGGCTACTTTGTCCCTTAAGGGGTGCTGCTTTGATGCTTTCTTTAATTTTGCCATGGAAGTCTCACAGGTGATGACCACACTTACATAGACACCTCTTTTTATCCTTAAAATAAAACAGGATAAATTGCATGTGGCAAGAATCAGTCATACCGTCTTCACTTACCCGTTATTTCCAGTACTGGTCAGTACAACTGTATTCTAGCGCAGAACAAGAGTGGCAGGCCCTCATTCATGAGTCAGGCTTCCTGCACCCTGCACGACGCTCTTGCAGGTGAGATCATCAGGCCTTTCTCTGGGTTGTAAAATAGTTTTCTTTTTTACCTTTTAATTCCCTTTTTGATATGGTTTCCCTTTGGCACTGTATGCACAAACTTTATCTTGACTGTCAATAGTTAATAATCCTCTGGCACAATATCCTTAGAACTTCCATATTTGCCTCTAGAGGGCCAACAAGGGCGACTAGTCTTGTGTATTAAAGAGCATGCATTGGGCCAGGAGTGGTAGCACACATCCTTAGTCCCAGCATTCACACTTAGGAGGCACAGGCAGGTGGATCTTTGTGAATTTAAGGCCAATGATTCTCAAAAACAAACAAACAAACAAAAAACAAAACAAATAACAAAAACCATGCTGATGAATAAAGGTTGGAGCGTGCGCCAAAAGATGAACTGTAATCCGGGAAGGTAAAGTCTCTTTATTCAAGAAAACACCAGGGCAAAACGCAGGCCAGAGCGAGGTTACAGGAACCCAGCAAGCACGGCCAGAAAAGGGACTAGGGTCTTCCGGTGCAGCCCTTAAGAAGCTCCCTTACATCACCCTGGCTTTCCTTCACCACGCCCTTATGGGCAAGTCCCGGGTCCACCTGGCACCTGTCCCAGGACTATTGGGCGGGGCTAGGGTTCTCCCTACACCATGCATTTATCTTTTTTTTTTAATTGAGTGTGAATGTGTGCAAGTTTGACACTCATGTGCTGATGGAAGTCAACAACTTTTAGGAGTTGGTTTTCTTCCTCTGTGAGATCCAGGGACTGAATTAGGTTGTCAGACTTATGTGGCAAGCATCTTAATTTGCTGAGCCACATTGCCAGCCAGTGCATCATTTAAAACCGTTTTCTTGGAGCAAATGCCAAGAGGCCCAAACATCAAGAGTCAGTAGCACAGCAAGACTGGGGCCCATGGTTTTTGTTCTGTTACGGCACTGGAGAGCTATGCAGGTGCTGTAAAACTGAGCTATACCTCTAGCTCTTTATAAGAGTTTTATTTTGAGACAAAGTCTTATTAAGATGCTTAGATTGGGGGAGCCGGGTTCCACCTCCTTTGCCGTTGATACTGCTGACCTGGGACCCCTCATCCCAGTCCGGCACTACCACCATGGCGAATGTGTACTTCTTGGATGGGATTCTGGTGTTTGGTTTGCTCTTTGTTTGCACCTGTGCCTACTTCAAGAAAGTAACTTGTCTCAAAACCTGGCTGTTCTCAGAGAAGAAAGGAGTTTGGGGTGTGTTTTACAAAGCTGATGTGATTGGGACCCGGCTGCATGCTGCTGTTGCAATTGCCTGCATTGTAATGGCCTTTTACATCCTGTTTATCAAATGAACTCCAAAGTATACCACTCATCAACTGCCAACCAAGGAGATAAAGATGAAGAACTTGTCGGAAACCTGGACCCAGTGTAGGAGAGTTCAGCTAAAATCATCAGTATCCCTAACATGACACCGCAGCATCTGCCTGCCATACGTGGGGAAAACTCATGGTCACTGTGGCACCAGTGCTATAACACTTCTTACAGTTTTGGGCGAGGGGCCTGAGGATTTAAATTAAGACAAGAAAGGGTGTCATTCATGCAAGGAGAAGGCCGTTTATTACAAAAGGAGGGAAGCCTTATATACCAGTCAGCAGGCATGGTGGAATACTACCCAGGTCAGAAGTTTATATTCCCAGGCCCCTCCAAAAATAAGGATGGGCGGATAACAGGAACTTGAGTTCAGGCCTTAACGGAAGGAGGGAAACAAGAAGTACTTGCTAGATAAGCTCCTAGTCACAAGCTGGTCTGGAGATCCCTATGGGGGAAGGGCCCAACAGGTACCCCTTTTATATATAAACAAATAGAGCATCTGTCTTAGGTTGCCCAGGACATCAACATCTGCCTTACCCATCATTGAAAAGTGTGCCCAGGCCCCAAAGACCCTCTGTCTTAGGTTAACAGAGTCTTACCTGTCATTGATTGCTCACTTGTCTTGCAGGCTCAGCCATACCTGCACCTAGGGGTTATCCGCTACCAAGGAAAGCATGATTTGCTATGTTTGAAAATGGTGCTGGGGGCTGGAGAGATGGCTCAGAGGTTAAGAGCACTGACTGTTCTTCCAGTGGTCCTGAGTTCAATTCCCAGCAACCACATGGTGGCTCACAACCACCTTGAATGAGATCTGGTGCCCTCTTCTGGTATGCAAATATACATGGAAGCAGAATGTTGATACATAATAAATAAATAAATAAAAAGAAAAAAAAGAAAAGAAAATGGCACTGGTTTGGCCTCCTTCCCATGCGGCAAGGGCAGACTAAGGCTAAAGGGGCACTGCCCAGGGCCATAATCCCGAGGGCTAGTGACCCACTCCATTCCTTAGTTAATTGACCTGTCAGCAGTAGCCCCTTTAAGAGGGAGTCTCCTGAAAGGGGAGGCACCCTGGTCTCATTAATCTTAATAAATTGAGTAGCCAGTTGAGCTGTGTAATTTGGGGAATTAAGAGAGAAGTTTGCTGATTGTACTAGAGAATTGATATTATTTAGGGAACTTAAGGCAGAGGCAACGTCCCCTGAGAGCTTATCCAGCATGCCTGCCGTGGCAACTGACTGAGAGATAGCGAAAGCCTGTAGACAGTGGCTCTTAACATCTTTCACCTTTTCACCAGAATGGACAGAGGCGAATACCAGATGGGAAAAAGTATCTACAGAAACATGGACAAATTGTAATTTACCAAAGGATGGCACATGCGTTACATCCATCTGCTACATGTGATTGGGCAAAAGTCCTCAGGGATTAACTCCCAAGTGAAGCACAGGAAGAAATTCTACACTTTCTTGAACAGCATGTTCTTTAGTTATCCCAGTATGGAAGCGTAAGGACCCTGTCCTGAGATAAAAGCGCTTATGTGTGGATTGTACTCTAGTGAGCTCTTGTAAAACCATAATGATTTGAGTATAGCTGTGGACCGTGCGATTTCCTTCACTGAGGGGTCCTGGCAAAGGGGTATTGGTCCTAAGATGTCCCACAAATACAGGTTCGCTCTGTTGCCATAGCAGACCCTGTGTCTGTAACAAACTCTCTTGTACCCTGGAGATGGGGCGACATAGGCAGCTGGCTCCAAGCGTTGGATAATGTGAGCAACATACTGACTATCAGTATATATCTTTAGTGCCCCCGTGGGGAAGAGTTGTAGGGCCATGGACAAAGCTAAAAGTTCAGCCATTTGGGAAGAAGCTGCAGCAGTTTTGGCTGTCTTAATGATGGGATAAGATATAACTACAGCTGTACCCTTTGAAGAACCATCCATGAAAACCACTCACCCCCTTGGAAATAGGCTGAGAGACTATAATCTTTGGGAAAATCAAAGGATGCATCTTAAAAAAGGAAACCAGATTATTGGATGGGTAATGATTATCAAAATCACTCTGGGTAGAAGAGAGAGAGAAATGGCCCAATCACAGCTATTATTTTGTAGCCACTCTCTTTCTTGACGGGACAAAGGTGTAACAACCTGATCTGGCTCCTTACCAAAAGTTTGTAAGGCAAACTTTTGTACTTTAAATAGGAGTGCAACTATAGCTTGGGGATAGGATACCACTGATTTAGATGGGGAGGCTTGAGAATGAACCCAAAGAATAGGACTCTCTTGCCAAAAACTCCCATAGGAGCATGAGCAGAGCAAAATACTAATAATTTTAAAGGCTGGGCATAATTTATATAATCCAAATGAGCCCCTTCTAAGGCCTTTTCAATCAAATGGATGTACTCCCGTCCTGCCGTAGTAAGGACTCAAGGAGAGTTGGAATCTGAATCACTGTGTAAAATATCAAAAAGAGGTTTAAGTTGCCCAGTAGTAATTTTTAAACTAGGTTTGATCCAGTTGATATCTCCCAGCAACTTTTGAAAATCATTTAATATTTGAAGGGTGTCCAGCTGAAGATTAATCTTTTGAGGGTGCACCCCATTACGAAGCAATGATATGGAAACTCCTTTTGTACCTTCTCTGGTGCTATTTGTAAGCCAGCCAATCCTAAGGTGGTCTGAAGATCCCCAAAGGCAGATAGCAATAGCTTTTCTTTTGGTGCAACCAACAATAAATCATCCATATAATGAATTTTATACAATCGAGGATATTTTTGTCTGACTGGTTCTATAGCCTGAGAAACATAAACTTGACACATAGTAGGGCTATTAGCCATGCCTTGAGGCAAAACTACCCACTGATATCTTTTTTAAAGCTCTCCTAAATTTAAAGATGGAACACTGAAAGCAAAGTGCTGACAATCAGCAGGGTGTAGAGAAATAGTGAAAAAACAATCCTTTAAATCTATACCAAGCAAGTGCCAGTTTTTTTTGGGTGGCCACAGGGGTTGGCAACTCTGGCTGAGTGGCACCCATGAGTATCATGGTCTTATTAACCTGTCTCTGGTCTTGTAATAAATTTGTAATCCATTTACCTGATTTTTTTTTCTTAATAACAAATATGTGAGTATTCCAGGGAGAGGTAGAAGGGACAAAATGACTGGCATTGAGTTGTTCCTGGATCAGGGCATGAGCAGTCTCAAACTTTACTTTAGATAGCGGCCATTGTTTTACCCAAACGGGTTCAGCATTTTTCCAGGTGAAAGGAATTGGAGGTATGAGAGGCTGGGGATCAGTGGCCCCCAATAAAAATGTCCCAATCCTCTCCAGTATCCAGGGGATCTTTGCACCAGATGTTTATCCGACATGGGCAGGGGTCACCCTGCAAATTCTTTCTGATCCCTTTGCTTGGGCAATAGCCTTGCTCCCTAAGCATATGCTGTACAGGATGTGTGGTCAGTATGGCCCCCATGGCTTTTAGGATATCTCTGCTCCAAAGATTGATCGGGATGTGAGGCAAAATGAAGGGCTGAAATATGCCAGAGTGTCTTTTACTAGGTGACTTTTCTATGCCTATACCCTGTAAGCTACTATCTGATTCTTGCAGGGGCCATGCCTTGGGCCAATGGTTGAGGGAAATGACAGATGTATCTGCACCTGTGTCTAGGAGTCCCTGAAAGATCTGTCCCTCAATAATCAGGGTCATCAAGGGTCTGGACTCCAAAGTGGACACCCAACATGCCATAGTTCCCATAGATCCAAACCCCCCTTCTCCTCTTACAGGCTTAAGGAAGGGGTTATTAGTTGTAATTTTAGAAGACAAAACTAACTGAGCAATTCTAGCTCCTTGGGGTATAACAGTGATTCCCTTGCCAGCTTCCACCATAATTTTGATCACTCCTTCAGTATCTTCATCAATGGCTCCAGGAATGACTCTAACTCCCTGAAGTAGAGTGCTACTCCTTCCTAAAATCAACCCAACTGAGCCCAGTGGTAAAGGGCTTTTGACTCCTGTGCCCAAAGCTTGGGGTCCCATCTGAGGAGTCAATATTGCTCTGATGGAGGAGCAGAGGTCCAGTCCTGTGCTTTCTGGAGTACCTCTGACAAGGTCCTGGATACAAAGGGGTTCCTCTGGGGTAGGGCCTGAATAGGATGGGAAACAGGTGTATCCAGGGCTCCGTACACCTGGGAGTGAGGGGCCCAGAGTGGACCCCCAACTCCTGTTGTGGAGGTGGCAGAGGGTTACCCAGTACATCAGTCTTTGATCGACATTTATTGCTCCAATGATGTCCTTTTTTTACAGCAGGGACAAAGACCTGGCCCTGGGTGAGGGGGTGTAACAGAGTCCTTAGCAGGACAATTTTTCTTAAAATGGCCTGTTTGCCCTCATCCAAAGCATATCTTAGGTCTCCCCCCCCCACTGACCTTCCTATTTCCCTGCATAGCAGAAGTGATAACTTGTCCCATAATGTGGTGTCCATCTATATCTCTACAATTGTGAATGTAATCATTGAGGCTTCTGGGCTTGTGAAGCTGTAAAGCCTCCTTGCAGTGCTTGTTGGCGTTTTTGAAAGCTAATTGTTTTAATATAGGCATGGCATTATTGGCATCCCCAAATATATGCCCTACAAGTTGTAGGAGCCGATCCACAAACTCAGAATAGGGTTCAGATGGTTCCTGTAGGACCTTAGAAAGTTGGTCTCTTGAGGCCTTATTAGGTAATGCTTTCCATGCATGGCCAGCAGCCGCTGAGATCTGCACATGTACAGCTGGCTTAGAGCTGCATAGGCTCCTGTGCCAGTAAGCATTTCTAAATTCCTTCCGGGGAAACTGGCAGCTGTGTTGCACTGCGCCACTTGGTAACATAGTTCTTGGTAGTCACCCCTCCAAATCAAATAATCCCCCCATTGACATCATAGCATGCCATAATTGCTGCCAGTCACTGGGGGTGCAATTCAAGGCCACAAAGGATTCAAAAATGGCCAGAGTAAAAGGGGTGTGAGGCCCGTATGCCATAACCACCTCTTTCAGTTGTTTTATATCCTTAAAGTTAAGAGGGGTATGCTCTCTCTGACTCTGGCCTTGGGGATTAACTGTCTCTATGACTGGGAACTTCTCTCTGCCCCTCTGCTCTTCAAGGAGGATCTGAAGGAAGACAGAAAGAGCTAGAATGCTCGGGATCACAAGCAGGGGGTCCAGGCTCAAGGGAGCATTTTTTAAGCTTATGCTTTAATTTAAGGATGTCCTTCTCGAGTTGAAGTTCTTTGCCTTCCTCAGCCTCATCCCCGAAGATTGGGGAGAGGACTCAGAGAAAGAAACATCAGAAGCTTGAAGTGACCTAACAGATTCTTGGTCCTGAGCCTCTGGTAAGGCAGCTTTGGCTTCCTCGACCTGCTCTTTCATTTCCATATTATCACTAAGAAGCACGTCCTTGACGAGACACCACAGAAAAAAGGTAACAATTGGTATGGTATTTGGCCCTTGTCTTTTTTAATTTTTTTTCACAAAAAAGCAATGTTTTATTGAAACAAAAGACAAGTATGAAATCTAAAGTCTTTACCAAGTTATTTACATGAACAGGGTTTTCTCTTCCATGAGTTCTTCCCTATTGCCTGATATCAAGATGATACAAAAAGGATTTAAAATATGTTTGGTGGTCAGAGATATGGATGAGCAAAATTGTGACACGTTCATTACCATGACCTAGGTCAGGTTTTTGAGAACGTTCTATAGTTTCTGCTACAGGGTCTATCCTTCTTGGGAGCAGGCGTGAACATTCAGACAAACCCACACATTGATATCATAATTAATTTTTTTTT